GTGCTCAGGATGTCACCTTCCCAGCCAGAGGGCACAGGCAGCCTGGGTGCAGTGGAAATGGTCCCAAATGGTCCCTGTCCCCTCCAAGGGATGTGGGGGCTGCTGCCTCCCAGCACCAGCATCCTCAGGCAGCAGCCCCAGGACACATCTGTCCTGCTACCTCTTTGCCCACTATTAATAAACTCTCCGGTTCCTCTAATTACATTTTTCTTTCAGATATGTTTTTTCTTACCTCCACCAAATGCATTTCCCCCGTGGTACCGTGCAGGAATTGCTGCTGCTGAAGGTCCTGGCATGGTGCAGAACTGCCTCTATCAGCTCTTTGTGAAGAGCAGGGCTCTCCCAAACTGGGGTATTTATGGTTTGTTCTTGTAGAAAGTCTTTCCTGCAAAGATCTCAAGCAGTTATGATGAACAAAGAGCACCTTCATCACACAGCCAGAAGCCAGGGAGCCGATATGGGGAGATATGGGGAGGTCTTGGGGTGCTGAGATGCCAGTGGGGGCAGGGGGAAGGTTGGTACATAGACTCAGAGAGTCAGAATTGTTCAGGTTGGAAAAGACCTGTGAGATTATCCAGTCCAACCTTTACCTAACTCTACTAACCCAGCTCCCTGCTAAACCATGTCCCTAAGCACTGTATCCAAACCATTATTAAACACATTCAAGGGCAGTGATTCAGCCACTTCCCTGGGCCATCCCAGTGCTTGGCGATTCCATGCATCCCATGTGGGCATGGGATGCACAAGAGCAAACAGCAGCTTCCACTGAAGACTGGGGGTGCACAGCCCTGCCCTACCAGGGGGGTGTTTCCCTGGATCTCCCGTGCAGAGGACGGGAAGGGCTGTCCCTGCTGCTCAGCATGACTTGGACTGAGGGAATCTGAGCTGTCATTTGGGTAAAGGAAACCTATGAATAGACTTTTTTTTTTTTTTTTTTTTTTCCCCCACCTCCAAGAACTTCTCCTCTGACCTTTTGGAACACAGCCCCTCTCAGCAGCATTTATAGTCTTAGGCAGAGCATCAGTGATGGGAGGTGACGCCGCCTCACTCAGCGGCAGGGCTGGGGTGACACGGGGCACACGATCGATCCGCGGGGCTGAGGCTCCATTACTTACCAGAAGTGCTTCAGAAAGAGCTCCAGGAACACAAGCCCTCTCCTGAGACCTCTCCTAGATGGTTTCAGATTAATTGTTACAGGTTTGTTGGTTTGTTTTTACGAAAGAAAGAAGACTTGTTTGCTTTTTTTTCCCTCTGGAGCTTTACCATCATCTTTCCTCATTCAGATCGTGGCAGGAGGTCAATAGAGTTCCCTGCCCAAGCCAGATTCCTCCACCATTCCAGAGGGAAGTGGATACATTCCCAGCTCCCAGCTGGCTATCTGTGTCTCAGAGCAACCCACGGAGCACACACCACCTCCCTGCTACCAGCTTCTTCCTTAAGCACAAGCGCTTCATAATTAACTGCCAAGACATCAGAGCCATCAGAGCTGGCTGTGCTGCCCTCCAGGATCAGACTTGCTGCCTAAAGGGTCTCCCAGTCACTGCTGGTGGGATTTTATTACCATGCACAGCAACAAAGCAGAGCAGGAAACCTCCACTGTGTTGCCAAGGACAGTCCTTCCTACCCAGAGGAGACAGGTTGGGAGCTGCCTTCCCTCCCTCTGCCCATCCTCCTTGTCACCATTCCCTCTATGTTTTAAAAAAAATTTTCTTAATTATTTTGGAATCTAGAGAATAATCTGTCATCAAATCCTGCAGAACAAATTGAACGTCAGGTTTTCAAACCACTCTAATAAAGCAGATGGTATCACAAGGCTGTAAATCTCCTCCCAACTTCAGTGCCTCTAAACGCTGACAGATTATCCATTAATGGGCAGATTAATCCTGAACAGCAAAAACAGTGGGAAGGAAAATACATGCTTTTGTCTCCATAACAGCCAAAATGAACACACTAATATGTACAACTCACAGGAGAGATGCAGCCACATCCATTACAGCCCATGGAGGGACTGGCAGAGCCCAGAGGTGCTGGGAGATGGGCACAGCTGCTGAGTGACAGCTCCCTCCACCTGCCCAGTGCCTTGCTGGGACCAGTAAAGGACAAAGTGATGGAAGGGGCAGGGCTGACTGTCCTGATCGTAGAATCCTAGAATACCAGGTTGGAAGTGACCTCAAGGATCGGCTGGTCCAGCCTTTCTAGGTGCTACTCTAGTTGTTATGAGGTGGCTCAGAACCCTGTCAAGCTGACACTTCAAACTGTCCAATCTGGGGGAACCCACCACCTCGGGAGACTATTCCAATGTTTGACTGTCCCCATGGGGAAAAATGTACCTCTTGTGTCCCACTGGAATCTCCCCAGGAGCAGCTTGTGCCCATGACCCCTTGTCTTTTCCATGTAAATAGGGAGTCTCCATCTTCTTGGGAGCCCCCTTTTAAGTAAATCTACTTCCCCAAACCAATTTACTGTCAGCATTTCTGGTGATTCCTCTTCCCTTCCCCACACGTCACGTTCCCCCAGAGCTCCTCCCCACCTGGAGCTGGTTTGTTGATGCCTATTTTGGCCGACTCCTCTTTGTCAATCCCAACAGCAGCAAGTGCTACTTCCCTGGCAAAAGTAGAGGATTTTTGGTCTCCTGTGGCAAACAGCAGCCCCTGCCAGTGCTGCCTCCCCTTTGCTGTCCCCTCCTCTCCCCACTGCTGAGCTGCTTGGCAGGTGTGAAATATTAATTGCCTCACATGGGAGCCGGGCTCACTGTCTGTCGCGTTTGACTGAAATATCATTCTCTGCCTCAAATATAATTACTGGGGGTCTGGATTTTAAAAATAGCCTCTCGCCTGTCTGTTCATTAGGAGCCACGCTTTGCTACACAAGGAGATATTTTGGTTAATTATAAAAGAGAAAAGGACAAATTTGTCACATCTTTTGTTTTCGTTCCGCCGTGCCTGCCGGTGCCAGCAGAGCCGTGATGGGCTGCTCAGCCAGCACCAGCTGCTGCCTCCCAAACGGGGAGGGGGTCAGAGCAGGCTGGGATCTCAGCACTGGGAGGGCAGTGTGTGTGTGTGTCTGTGCTCCGACCTCCCCTCGCTGCAGAGGAGGTTAAACAAAGGAGAGAAAATTTCCGTTTCCCTGAAACGCTCCGATGCTGAAGGAGCCTCTGATCCAAAGGACTGAAGTGTCCTTGGGACACCTGCCAGAAGTGCTGAGCTGAGGTCCTGGGCTGCAACTCCAGCACCCTGTAGACCCCATGGACCATCTCCACCACGGCAGAGGTGGCACTAGCCCATCCTTCTCCCCCAGCTTCCAAACTAAGACCTACCCTCCCAGGCTTGCTGAGTGCTCGTGCCAACACCCATGCACGTTTTGGGCTTGTTTCTGAAAAAGAAGCAAAAAGCCATTTCATAGTTGCCAGTGCCAAGAGAGGAGAGTGATGACACATTTGGAAATGGCAGATGAGAGTGCTAACAAACCTCCCCTTGGCCTCATGTGTAATTAATAATGTGTTAATAAACCTCCAGAAGAATAAAGATCAATAGAGCTGTTGCACTCCCAGGCCCTGCCTGAAACCTTCCCGGCAGCAGCAGCTGCAGCTCAGGAGAGGGAAGGGCTGAGAGTGGCTTTATCCATGATTAAATTCCTGGTTACAGTAAGCAGCACCTCTACACTAAGGTGCATGAATAGAATGTTTCATAATTATTTCTGAAATAAATAATTATCCAGCATTTCAAAGAACTCATAATAACAGCTTAAACTGATGTATTAAACAGGCATAATAATTATTCCAACAATATTGAATGCTGTTCTGTCAAATAATCATTTCATATATATGAAGAAAGCTTTCAGCAACAGCACCAGAATCCAACATGTTACCAGATTAATGACACAAAAATTCCACATCCTTTTCCTGAAGACAGACAGAACTTTGTATATGGAAAATGAAATTGTACCTACAGAGCATATAAGGAAATATCATGCATCAAAATATATAGGGAACAATAGAAAGGGAGTGAAAAAAAAATGCCCTTTTTAAGCCTGGAAAAATTGGGCAAGGAGAGCTCTGCTTCAGAAACTTCTCTGGGTAACAAGGTAATCTGGAGCAGGAAATGCCTCTAAACCAGCAGCCTGGATGGTGACTCAGATTCTATCCCAAACCAGGTCCATGTTGTCCTCCCAGACTGAGCCTTTTCTCAGTAGTGGCTACTGAAAAATAATAATAAATGTAAAAACAACAACAACAATAATATTGTATTATTATTTTCTTATTATTTCCATATAGCACAGGAAAATCCCAGTAAATGAACTGCAGCAAATCTCTGCTTGTCTCCCCCTTCTGCTGATACTTCAGTAACACTTAGAAGAGCAGCACAAATTTTATAACCTTGGGATGAAGATTAAAAAATAAAGCCCAGTAAAAATCCTTGTGAATTATTGAAACTGTATCTCATTATAATGGAAGGAGTGAGCTTTATTTTCAGTAAGTGACATGGGAGCAGAAAAATGGGAGGATAATGATGCTCAGGCAGAACAATTATTTCATTGTGATGGAGAAGCATAAAGTTTATCACTTTGATTACTGCCCTGATTTATTTTTTTTGTGCACCCAGTTTAGAGACCCATAAATCATGTGGATTTCTGATGCTCCATCTCTGCTGCTGCCCAGAGGCAGAAAGCTGATCTGCTGGAGCAGGTGCTTGGTGCTCCATCAGGCTGCTGCATCCTGTGCCCTTTTCTGCCTGAAGCACATCCTGCCTGACCAGCCTAGTGGCTTCTACAACTGAGTGACTGCATCAGTCAACCAGGGAAAAGCAGAGGGTGTCTTCTGCAAGGTCCCCACCAAAATCCTTCTCACTAAATTGGAGAGATAAGGGTTGGATGGGTGGACTTCCCTTCCAACTGCAAACATTGTGTGATTCTGTTTGTAGCAGCCCCTCTTCCTCACTTGGCAATCCTGAGCTTTGAGACAAACATTTTGAGCTTGGACAAAAGGCAAACTCAGGACTTACCAGGGTCCCACCCTTGGACATGACCAAGCTGAGGGTGTGATGCTGTTGCTAATGATCAAAACCAGCTGCTAACTGCTTAAGGCAGAGCATGGAGGGGAATTTGGGTAGGTTTTTTTGGTTTGTTTGTTTTTTGATTGTAGGAAACTGAACAACAAAAGCCCTGCAACACGCGCAGTCCCTCTGCCCAGCCCTCTGACAATCCCACCCTTCAGGAGGAACCTACCTGGGGCCATCACCCAAGAGACAGGAGGTTTGCACAGGAGAGCAGGGAGCCCCTCCTGCTGCTGCAGAGCTGCTCCTCCTGCTCCTGCTCTCCTCTGGGGCTGTCTGCGTGACACTTTGCCCATAAAACATGGCAGCTTGATGCACTGTACAAGAGTGACATAACTTTTATCAAGGGGAAATTTAAGGCTTAAGTGCCTTTAAAATGCTGGCATCACTCACTGTGTGTGCTGGCTCTTTTTGAATATTACAGCCATTATATGTAATTCTTTTTCCTCTTGGAGAAATATTAGCGTGTACTTTTCTTCTCGTCAATCATCTTTTTTTTTGACCTTTGTACCATCAGCTGCCTTGAAGAGGGTCACACCTGCTCTGGAATCTGTGCTTCCCAGAGCCTGTTCTAGCAACACCACGGAGCCAGACTAAGGAGAAGACTTTGTCCATTTGAACAGCACGTTTCCCTCAGGGAATTCAGCCTCTTCCAAACCCACAATGGAGGCTCCTGGGGATGAACTGACACACACACAGCACCCTGATATCTGTACCAGGGCTGCCCAGCTGCCACTGGGTGCTGGGGTGACTGGAAGGACTGATCCAAAGTCTCTGGAGCATTTTGGGGTAAGGTCCACACTGCAGGATCTCTAAACTGGGCATCAAGGTTGTAAGTTCTCACTTCTTTTTGCAAATGAGGCCAAAACCCTAAAGCTCAGAGGCAGGAAAATGCAGAGCCAGGTCACACCCCCAGGCTGCCATGACAAACAGGACTTTCCTGAGACCTTTCAAGCCATTACATCCATTTACAATCCACTGCCTCTACACAGAGATTGGGATTATTTCTTTTTGCTCTTTACCATATGTCCTGCTACAGCACTTGAAAGCAGCACACCAGGTCACGGCTGCCCTGCAAGGAGAAGGCAGCTCAGATCATTAGTCTGGCTGGATCCCTTGTTCTTGAGCTCATCACTGTCATCTTCCTGAGTGGATAGAAAAGGATTGTGTTCCATTGTCTGTGTGCACGAGGTCAGGAACACATTCAAGGCTTAGACGTGAAAAGCTGAACCAGACGAGATACAGAAAAGTGCTTTACAAATAAAGCTCTGATTTCGCTCCCCACCTAGTGCTAATCCTCTGCAATCTGCTGTTGCCTTATGTCTCTCTGATCCCTCCAAACCTGGCCAGCGTTTCGATTCTACCCTATCTCGGGAAGTGACCTGCAGCGCAGTAGGAACCGCTCCGGGAGCTGCGCAGCCAGGAAAACAAACACAAAGCTGGGAAAGCCACTAGATGGCAGGAGCAGGGCCGGGAGCCGGAGCATCCTTGGGAGCTGGAGCATCCTTGGGAGCCGGAGCATCCTTGGGAGCCGGAGCATCCTTGGGAGCCGGAGCATCCTTGGGAGCCCGAGCATCCTCTGGATACGGAGCGTCGATTCTACCCTATCTCGGGAAGTGACCTGCAGCGCAGTAGGAACCGCTCCGGGAGCTGCGCAGCCAGGAAAACAAACACAAAGCTGGGAAAGCCACTAGATGGCAGGAGCAGGGCCGGGAGCCGGAGCATCCTTGGGAGCTGGAGCATCCTTGGGAGCTGGAGCATCCTTGGGAGCTGGAGCATCCTTGGGAGCTGGAGCATCCTTGGGAGCTGGAGCATCCTTGGGAGCAGGAGCAGCGCCGGGAGCCGGAGCATCCTTGGGAGCTGGAGCATCCTTGGGAGCCGGAGCATCCTTGGGAGCTGGAGCATCCTTGGGAGCTGGAGCATCCTTGGGAGCCGGAGCATCCTTGGGAGATGGAGCATCCTTGGGAGCTGGAGCTTCCCCGGCAACTGGAGCATCCCCGGGAGCTGCAGCATCCCCCTGCAACTCCGCACCTCTCCTGTTCCACTTGCTCCCACATTTCCTCAGTCCTGCCCTGGGAACCTGGGACCAGCAGCAAACAAGCTCCACTGTCATCAACTGCAGGCATAAATTACCCCTGTAATTAAACCATATGCACAAATTGTACCATATTAATCACTAAAGAATGTTAATGACTCTGCCTGCTGCTCAAGCCTCAGTGGAGTCCCTGCTGAGCACCCTGGAGGGTCGGTGTTTGCTCTGAGGGGGCAGGGGGCTCCCAGGGTGGGTATGGACCCAGGGAGGGGTGTTGCTGGCTGCAACCCCCCATTCATCCCCTGAAGGGGAGGCAGTGGGGACAGTGGTGGGTTTCAATAAGGCTCTCTTGTACCCATGTGTGCATTGGTTGGCTATTGCTGCATCCTTGGGTGATGTGTGGTAACAGGTGCTGGAGGAGAGAAGTTCCAGGCCTGGGCATATTGTCCTGCTCGTTGCATCCTCTGTGAGCTGCCCCTCACACCCCAATGCTGCTGTATAACAGGCCTCAGAATCAGTTAATACTCAAGAACCTTGTCTCAGTCTTGGTATCAGAGAATCACAGAATTGTTCAGGCTGGAAAAGACCTGTAAGATCATTCAGTCCAACCTTTAGCCTGATAAGTGCAAAGCTATTGAGTTAAAGCAAAAATAAGCACAGAGCAAACCCTGACATAATCCTCCTCCATGGGGCAGCCAAAACAAACCTGGGCTCTGCCATCAGGCGCCACGTGTGCTATCCATGTTGTGAGCTCAGCTCTGTTTCCCCCCCAGCACCCCCAGCCCACTCCCCATCCCAGCCATCTGCAGCACTTCAGATGGTTCA